TCTGCACAACAAAAGAAATGGTCTCTAAACTGAAGAGACCACCCACAGAGTGGGAGAAAATATTTGCCAGCTACACATCAGACAAAGGACTGACAACCAGAATATACAGGGCACTTAAGAAACTACTCTCTTAAAATCAATGAACCAATTAAAAAATGGGCAACTGAACTTAATAGAACTTTCTCAAAAGAAGAAATTCAAATGGCAAAAAAAGCACATGAAAAAATGCTCACCATCTCTAGCCATAAAGGAAATGCAAATCAAAACCACACTAAGATTCCACCTCACCCCTGTTATACTAGTCATCAACAAAAACACCACCACCAACATGTGTTGGCAAGGATGTGGGGAAAAAGGAACCCTAGTCCCCTGCTGGTGGGAATGCAAGCTGGTACAACCACTCTGGAAAAAAGTTTGGAGACTTCTTAAAAATCTAAACATAGACCTGCCATATGATCCAGCAATCCCACTCCTGGGGATATACCCAAAAGAATGCACACAGATTACTCCAGAGGCACCTGCACACCCATGTTTATTGCGGCACTATTCACAATAGCCAAGTTATGGAAACAGCCAAGATGCCTCACTACTTATGAATGGATCAAGAAAATGTGGTACTTGTACACAATGGAATTTTACTCAGCCATGAAGAAGAATGAAATCTTATCATTTGAGGTAAATGGATGGAACTAGAGAACATCATCCTGAGCGAGGTCAGCCAAGCTCAGAAGACCAAAAATCGTATGTTCTCCCTCATATGCAGTTTTTAGATCTAGGGCAAATACAGCAATGTTGTTGGACTTGGGTCACATGACAAGGGGAGAGCACATATGGGATGTATGGGGATAGGTAGAAAACATGAAACCATTTGATGTCCCCACTCCAGAGGAACTAATATAGAAACCTTAAAGCAACAGAGGTTATCATGAGAAGGGGATCAGGAACCAGGGTAAAGATCAGTTAGAGTTGAATCAACATGGGTCATAACACGTGTACATGAAAGCAATGCTAGGAATATTTCTGCATAGCTGTCCTTAACTCAACTAGCAAAAACACTTTGTCTTTCTTATTATGCTTGTGTCTTTTCTTAAAAAAAAAACTAGTGATTAAGGCAGAAGAGAACCTGCCTGGAACTGAGCGGGGAAAGGGGGAAAGAGTGGGAGGGGGGCAGGGGGGAATAATGACCCAAACAACGAATGCACATGTGAATAAAAGAATAATAAAATTTTTAAAAATTAAAAAACAGAAAGATGAAAACCTGTCAAGACAACATATCTAAGCTGAAATTCTGAAAAGAAAAAAGCATTATGTATAATCATCAATCTTTTTAAATATGCATTTTATTTTCATGCAAGCACATGCAAGGGACAAATGGGAAAATTGTTTTTAAGTATCTTTAAATGTTATCTCATTATATTCTCCTCCTTCTGATTAAAAAAAAAGATGCAGAGAAAATACAACAAAACTGAACATCTTTCACTATAAAAAACTCTCAACAAATACTGTGTGGATGAAATGCACCTCAATATAAAAATGTCCACATGTGACAAGCACACAGCTAACATAACACTCAACCGTGAAAACCAAGAAGAAGAAAAGGTTGTGCACACTTCCCATTTCTATTCAACAAAGTGTTGGAAATCCTAGTGTGGAGGAAGAAGCAAGAAAAAGAAGTACCATTCAAATTTAAAGAAGTGAAATTGTTTCTATTTATAAATGATAAAATCATCACCCCAAAATCTGTTGTATTTCTCTAAACTAAAATGAACCACCTGAAAAAGAAATAAACTATCCCATTTACAACAGCATCAGAATCAGAATAAAACACTTAGAAATAGCTTTAACAAATAAAGGAAATGATGTGTACATTGAAAACTGTAAGACACTGAAAGAAACTGAAGAAGACACAAATCCCATGTTTATAGACCAGAACAATTAATATTGTTAAAATATTCATACTACCAAAAGTGACACATTCAATGCAATCTCTATCAAAATTCCAATGTCATTTTTCACAGAAATAGAAAAAATAACCCTAAAATTCATACAAAAGTATAAAAGATTTCAAATAGCCACAACAATCTTGAATAATAAGAACAAAGACTTCAAACTATACTGCACAGCGACTGTCTTCAAAACAGTATGGCACTGACCAATGGACCAGAGTAAGGAACACAGAAATACACATATACACACACATATAAAGTCAACTAATCCTTGACAAGGGTGCCAGGAACAAACGTGGGGAAAGGGCACTTTCCCCATAAGAGTATTTTTTAAAATAAGTTATGTTGGGAAAACTGGATAGCCATGTGCAAAAGAATGAAATTGGACACTTTTCATATAACATACATAAAAACTAACTTGAAATGGATGAAAAACTTAAATGTAAGACCTGAAATCATAAAATTCCTAGAATAAAAATAGGGAGAAAGCTCCCAGACCTTGGTTTTGGCAATGATTATTTGGATCTAACATTATAAACACAGGGGAAAAAAAGCAAAAATAAACAGGACTACATCAAACAAAACAGCTTCTGCCTAGCAAAAAAAAAAAAAAACAGTAAAAAATTAACAAAACAAAAAGGCAGCTGACAGACTGGGAGGAAATATTCAGGAGTCATAAATCCAATAAGGAGGAAATTCCCAAAATTTCATAAGAAACCCAAACACAACTCAATAACAAATAAATTAATAATCATACTTTTAAATGGGTAAAAGACTTTGCTACAGTCAGAATGTGTCCCAAAATTCACTTGTTGAAACTTAGCTGACAATGTGATGATGACTAGAGTCTCTAGGAGGTAAGTCATGTGGGCAGAGCCTTAGTGAAAGGGACTAAACCTTTATAAAAGAGGATAAGGATGGGAATGGTAGGGCACACCTGTAATCTCAGCTATGCAGAAGGCAGAGGTAGGAGGCTAGCCCTGGGTAAAAAGCATGAGACCCCATCTGAAAAAAGTACCTAAAGCCAAAAGGACTAGAGGTGTGGCTCAAGTGGCAGAGCACTGTCTGGCAGGTGCAAGGCCACGCGCAAACACCAGTACCAAAGAGGCTTTGCACAGTACTTGACCTTTGTCCCCTTCTGTTCTTCACCATGAGAGGACTCAGCATTCATTCTCTTTGCCTTTGCCCTTAGTCCCCTCCCCCGTATCAAGACACAGCAAGGAGTCTCCCACCAGGTCCCAAATACCAGCACCTTGGTGTTAAATTCCCAGCCTGCAGAACTGTAAGAAATAAATCTGCATGCTTTATAAATTACCCAGTCTGTGGTATTGTGTGATAATACTACAAATGTACTAAGACCTGAATAGACACTCTTCTAAAGAAAATATAAAAATGGCCAACAGGTATATGAAAAGCAATTCAGCACGAGTAGTCAAAGAAATGCGAGCGAAAACTGCAGTGAACTATCCCCTTGCACCTGTCAGGATGACTACGGTCAGACAGACAAGAGCTGACCAGTGCTGGCAACGATATGGAAACGGTGGGAACCACGTACATTATCAGGTGAAGAGTAAATGGATACAGCCATGACGGAAACACGTATGGAGCTTTCTCAAAGAATCGAAAACAGAGCTACCTATGATCCAGTCCTCCCACTTCTGGGTATAAACCCAACAGAAATGAAATTTGCATCTCGAAGACGTCTGCAGTCCATGTTCATTGCAGCGTCGTTGACAATAGTCAAGAAATGGAAACAAAGTAAGTGTCCATCCATGGACAAATGAAAACGAGTTTACACATATGAACAATGGACTACTATTCAGCCTTGAAAAGGAAGGAGTTCCTGCCCTTCACAGCAGCATGGATAAGCCTAGGGGTGTTATGCTACATGAAGTAAGCCAGGAACAGAAAGACAAGTATCGCATGATCTCACACACAGGTGGAATCTAGAAAGCTCAAAATCACGGAAGCAGAGCGGACCGATGGCCGCCTAGGGCTGGGGCAGCATTGCAAGGTGATGAATGGGGAGATAGTGACAAAAGATACAAGCTCTCAGTGATCACATAAAAAGGTCCCGACCATGTCATGTGCCCCTGGTGGCTACAGTTAATAATACTGTTGCGTTTTTGGTTTTGGTTTTTGAGATACTGGGGGTTTGAACTCAGGACCTCACACTTGCTAGGCAAGCACTCTACCACTTGAGCCACATCTCTAGCCCTTTCAGCTTTAGCTATTTTTCACATGTTTTGTCCAGGCCAACCTCAGCTCACAATCCTCCTACCTATGGCTCCCACATAGCGGACATTATAGGTATGCACCACCCTACTGCCTTGTTCTTGGAGACAGGGGCTCACTAACATTTTTGCCCAACTGGCCACAAACCATAATCCTGCTTAAACCTTGCTTCCCAAGTAGCTGGATTACAGATATGAACCACCATGCTTGACATCAAATAGCGGGTATTGTTTACTTGAAATGTGCTAAAGGGTCAGCGCTTAAGTGCACTCCTCCCCACCTCTACACACACACACACACACACAAGGAGTGAAAGATGTGCTCATCAATTTGACTGTGGTAAACATCACATGTATCAAACTATCATCACTGTACACCTTAAATATATACAATTCCTCCTTGTCAATTCTACCTTAATAAAGCTGGAGAGAGAACAGAATAGATGGACCTTGTAGCCAGAAAGTTAGAAGGAAAGAAAGAAAGCTGGGAGAAAAAGAAAGGAAAAACCAACTTCTCCTCACTGTAAACCCCAAAAGAACAGTAGACAGTATCTATCTTAATTGTCACGTAAATACTCACACAACGTCATAAAAATGCATGTGGTCAACGAGATGTTGTACTCAAAAGATGTTTAAAATGTGAGTGCCAGGCCGGCACAGTGGCTCAAGCAGTAGGAGTGCCTGCTTAACAAGCGTGAGGCCCTGAGTTCAAACCCCAGTGCCACCAAAAAAAAATGTGAATGCCATGCTATTTACACTTAGGGCCAATGGTGAAACAGAGTTTTCCAAAACAGCAAAGTCTTTGGAAATGATGACTAACCTCAGCATGAATATTGGAAGTTTGAAGAGTTCCTGAGGATCAGAAAAGCTGGATGTTATCTAACATTCACCTATCAAAGACAAAAAAGAGGAAGTAAGAAAAAAGCAAACGTGTCCTTTTTCATATTCATAATTTAAAACTGTTTACAATGGCATGTTTCTGTGGGGAGGGCTCACTGATGAGTTTACAAGGTTTTATGTTCTGGTTCACAGTATTTGAAACTCTAGCATTAACTCATATCTAAATACATGGCCAGTAATTTTTCCTGGCTTCCTATTGTTTTGTGCATCCAAGAAATCAATCAAAACATACAATAAAAAAGATGATGAGAGGGCAAGAAATAACCTTTGATGACAACAACCAGGCCACATATGATTTGTTTCTAGAAATTGAGGTCCTAAGTGACAATTCTGTTTTTGACCTTATACTCATTCGAGGTTTTATGCCTGTTCTTGTAATGAGTTGCCCAGCCTTGGTCCTGGTCCCCTTGTACAGTGGCATGTCATTATCTCTTTCTTGTTTCTTTTCTTTTGTTCTTTCACTCTATGATTTGCCAGAGCTTGTTCTTTTAAACTGCTCTGTTGTTATCTGACAGATAGCTTTTTCCTAGGTATTTTCCCTCTCCACAATTCTAACCTTCACTAGTTTCTAGAAAATGTCCCCTGAAAATATGTGGGCCTGTTTTTCCTGATATGGAAAAGAAATTTCAGTCAGGTAAACAAAACAAGATCCAAAAAAAATCTTTCCTTAAAAAAGAAAATTATGCATAATATGGTAGTAAAATTACCACCGTCTGCCAATTTCAAGAAATATGAGGAACAGCCTAATTTCTAAATATAATGAAGCTACTTCATTTGTCCCACAGAGATTATAGAAGGGAGTCACTTCTGCTTGGCTAATCTATTTTACTTTGATAATTTATGAATATCTAAGTGGGGTTGATTTTTTATATTATAAGGCCTAATTTTCCCAAAACACAACAAAGAGCAAAATAGGATTGAACATAAATTTGATTGTCCCTGAGATCTAGAAGTCAACTTTATGGCATTGCAGAAAATCTTCCAGCAAGTTATTAATGACAATCAATAATCCTTGTTCTATAAATGTAACAAATGTGTTTTTTAAATTAAAGTATTCTGCGTTTTTGAGATTTGAACATATGGAGTGATTTAAAAATTTTCAAATTTAAACCCTATCACCTGCTACCTGAATCATAATAGCCTTCCCTGATCATCTCATGAATTCTCTTCTTTCTCTTTTCTCTAACTTATCTTCTTAAGAACACCACTTTTATCAGTACTTATTTCTGAGAATTAATATTTCATTGTGGGTTTATTGTGAACTAAGTGGACCCCACAAGCCAGCTCTCTTCTACAAGCATTGCTGTTCCAAAAACAAGAAACACATTAGTTTTATTTTTTTTTGTCCCATGATATCAAGAAATATATTGATGAATGGGGAAAAAAGTGAAGAAACACTTTACTTCATTGACTAGTCCCATTACTGTGGCCTTTGTTTTGAAACATACAAAGCATTTAGCACAATGCAAAAATAAGAAAGGTTTCAATAAGTGCTTTCTTTTCCTGTATTAATTTGCTATTTAACCTTCCCAACAAACCTTGTCAGGGATACAGAGGAGGGAAATTGGCATCCCTGAAAAGGGGCTTCTGTGACGCATCCAAATGACACAGGAACAGGGGGACAGTCCGCCTGGCTTCCCTAGCAAGAGGCAGAAACAACAGCTCAGGAGAGCAAGTAAATACCAATTTGTGACTCATGAGTCATGACTTCACAAGGAGTTAATTCAGTAGCCCATAATGCTATCAAAGGATTGATTCTGGCCTTTTAAAAAATTTTCCTTTTTGAATTAGCTAACAACTAAATAAATAACAGCCGTCCTTTGCCCACTGTACAGTTTTCGAGTGATCAGCTTTTGATCCTTAGCCTTGTTTCCATTATAAAACCAAATACATGCCAACAGCAAACACAGCCCACACTCGACAACAATGAACGTCCAAAGAAAGGAGGGAGGAATTCCAAGATGGCAGACAGGATAGGAATCACGAAATTTCCTGAACTCCATGAATTTCCTAAAAATCCACTTCAAGATGTAGGAGCTATATTTGGGTAAATTCTGATTCTTTCTAGCCAACTTAATTAACCTTCAACACATAGGGTGCACATAAAATTAAGGACTGAACCTTAAAATGGCTTTTTAAGGTTGCCACTAACAGCCCAGGAAAATCCCAGAATGACACAGCCAACTAAGGCGTATCTTCCTGGGAAAAAAGTCCCCTGGCTGTTTTCCTTCCCTTTTCTTTCTTTTCCTTTTTCCTTGTTTTTTTTTTTCAAAAGCAGAAGATAGAGCATCAAACAGAACAAACCTAACTCTGGACCACAACGGCCAGGAAAGTTCAAACTATGTCTCTACCAGGCTGCAACTCAGTCCCAGTTAGTGTCTGCCTTGAGAAAAGCCACCTGCCGATTTCTCCCTGCTGGCCAATTTCAAAAGCTGCCTTCATAAACACACAGACCCCAACAGGTTAGCAACACAGACCACACGCAGCTCCCCCACCTACACCCACTGGGAACATATCCAGCAAACAGCTCATGGGCAGATTTGGAATCCTTCCCACCCTGGGACAAAATTGAAAAACATAAGAACAGTGAATTGTAACTACCATTGAAAGTAGGGCTGGGGTAGAACTGAAACCAACCTCAGACAATGGGGTGGGGCAAGGAGCAAACGTCCAGTGAGCAGAGGCATGGTGAGGAACAAAGCTGAGAGAGGTGGAGTGACATGCCAAACTTCCAAAGCAGGGGCATGGCAAGATTGCTGAGCTAGTCACCTGGGACTGAGGGTGGGTACAACAACCTGGATTGCCCCACTTGCTGGGAGGGTAAAGCTGACGCACGAACATAGTTTGCAGCTGTAAGGCAATACAGCTGCCTGCCTGGTGAAAAACACAAATCGACCACCTTGCACAAACTGGTAGTGAGCTACCACAGGTCCGCCAATTGAAACTGCCCTGTGGACAGAAGGAATGAAATACTGCTCAAAAGCCAGCCATCTGGTGAGATGACCACAGAGCTCCTGCCTTCTCTGCCATCTCTCTCCCATCTTTTGCCTCCCCCTCCTAATCTTTCCCTTACCTGTCACAAATTACCCTTCCCTCCTCCACATTTACACCCACTGAACTGGCCTACTGTACAAGCCTTCTGCCCATCCCCTGACGACAAGAACCCTCACGACAACGAGTGGAGTTTTACCCAACAAACACAACACAAGGTCCAAAACCCAGCAGCCCCCATACTTCGTACCACTCCACACTCTCTCCCTTTTGGCTCCCCACCTTTAGGGCCACCTTTACTAAATTACCCAGTTCTATCTCTAGCCAAACCAACCACTGCTTCGCCAGCTCCATGGGTTTAGCCAGATATTATCACCAAGGTGTAATTTTGTAGAATATATAAAAGCAACTGTCTGGCACTGAACCTGTGAATTTATTAAATTGCTAATGTGTTATAGCTTCCAGGCCAGGGACGGAAATAACAAACATCAATCTAAGCTTACAACTAAACGCCCCGTCAAACACAACAATTAATCCAAGGAAAAGAAAACAAGTAATTAAACCAACCAACTAGCCATTCAAGAACATATGAGAACTGCATCAATTAAAAAGTTGGGGAGAAGAAGGCAAGGAAACCCACTCTACAATTCAGTAGAGGATTTAGTGGAGAAATGAAAGAAAATGAATACCCAGTTCATGACCCAAAAGGAACAATGACAAAATATCACCAAGTGAGCTCAGTGGACCCTACAAAAAAAAATCTCT